AGTGACACAGGAGCTGAGGACTTGCTCTCTAGACACAAGTAGCAACGTGTAATATGTTTGGTACTATGAATGTGGAAACAGAAATCAATGGTCCTCTTGGAGCTGCACCCACCCCGCTATCAACAGTAGGGTTGCTGGCCAGTATGCTCAGCAATCCACAAGCTTGGTTATCAGCCAGACTCCGACTAACATTCGGCAGGCTTTATGGCATGGCAGCCCATGAGTCTCATAGGTCGTTCCAGTAAACAGGCCGGACAAAGACCGGTGTCGAATCTGCACACAAAGGGCAGTCGCGTACCGCGCACAAAGAACCATACTTGCCACAACACTTAGGTCTAGCAGACACCTTCCACCTATTCCAAACTTCAGCGATGGAAAGTAGCATCTACACAACTCCATGTTTCAGGTGACTGCCATCTACCACGATATCTCTTCCGAGTTGATACTGCCCACTCAACCACTCATCTAGCCTCTTCTCATCATTCACCATCCAAAAGATACATCACCCTGCGAGCAAGATGCTAGACATCAAAGACGACGACCTCGCTGATAAACGCGCCGAAATGAAAACACCTATCCCGCCTCCAAGCAATGAAGCCCCAGCAGCCAGCACCTCCACCCCCAAACCAGCCTCCACCCTCCAACCGCAGCCCCCACCCAGCAAACTCCACCTCCTGGACCTCCAACAACAACAGAACCTCGCCCGCGAAGCCGTCTCCCAAGCAGCGATGGAGCGCGAGAGCAAGTCCCTCATTCCCCCCACCCAGCCCCAGCAACCCATCCAACCCCGAAATCTAACACCATCACAACCACCACAGACCTCTACAGCAAAGTCACAATCCAAACGCACCACATCCACCGCCCCATCCAGCTGTCCTCCCAATCCACCACCAGCACCACCAGCACTAACCCGCACAGCCACCAAACAGCCCTCCCCCTAACCGCCCGGGTCTACGCCCCCAAGCCCCAAGGCTACACCCCGCTCCACCTGCCCGTCTACCTCTACTTCCACGGCGGGGGATTCTTCACGGGGACGCTGGACAGCGAAGACGCGACCTGTGCGCGGCTCGTGGCATCTCTCTACGCCAAGGGCCGCCCCATCATCGTAGTCAGCGCGGACTACCGCAAGACGACGCATGTGAGTTTCCCGGACCCCTTCGAGGACGCGTGGGAGGTGTTCAGCTGGCTGGAGCGGCGCATCGCGTGGCTGAACGGGGACCCCACGCGGGTGGTTGTGGGCGGGGAGGACGCCGGGGCGGCGCTGGCGGCGTGGGTGGCCTGGTTTGCGCGCAGCAATGTCGCCGGCCGGCGGGAGATGGAGACCCGGTCCGAGCGGGTGATCAAGGTGCAGGGGCTGGTGGTTTGTAACCCCTGGATGCCGCTTTTGGACCGGTGGGAGGAGGTCGGGGAGGCGTTTGGGGTGGGGAGTAGGGTTATGGAGCGGGATACCGGGGAGGGGGGCGGGAAGGGGAAGGGGAAGGAACGGGCAAGAGAAACTGAAGTAACGGCGGTGGAGAGGGGGAATGCAGCTGGATACGATTTATATCACGCGCTGCTGAACGTCTACCGTGTTGAGCCGGGTCACCATGGGATGGGCATGTGGACGGCGCTCGAGGCGATGCCGCACACGTATCTGTTGACCTTTGCGGAGAGTCTGTTGCGGCGGAGGCAGTTGTTGCTCGCGACGCTGTTGATGCGCGAGAGGTGAGTTTCCTTCCTTCATGCTACGAGTCAGCCTTGTTTAGATGGCGATGGATGGATCGATTCATGCTGACAGTCCCTGTCCCATTCTTAGGGTTAATGTGGAAATGAAAGTCCTGCCTGGCTCGCCGCACGAGACCCAGGATCTGGAGATCCTCCCGAGCTCCCACCCCTGGGGCTCCGAGTTGGTCGAGGCGCTCGAGTGGTGCTTGCGGTCCTCCCACGGACAGATGCGGCCTACCAGGTCGGTGTATACCGCCGGTGTGGTAATCGTCTCTCTTCTCCTTGCGGCTCTCTATCTGTATCTGACTGATATAGTGAACACGCATCTCTCCGATATTCGGCCTGAGATAGGTAGGTAGGCGGGTGCGAATCTGATGGGTCCCCTTCTGAGGGTAATTCTAAGTCGGCGACGCAGTCTGGAATGCAAGTACTGTCCATTGGTGCAACAAGAGCCTATTTGTAGGCAGACGTCTGGCATTCCGCACCCGGGGGTTGTACACTATTGCTCATGGACACCTACCAAGATAGTGCGAACAAGTTGATACTCAGTTGATGCTGGAGTATGACTGTCAAACCCAAATATATCGGTATGGAAAAGAATTTTGAAAGATAGCAGTTCTGGCTCAGGATATGTCACCGCTTCTCAAAGAACCAGTGTGGTTAGCAGATGCTCTTTATGAGAGTACGGCATAGCTTTAGGGCCGGCTATATCGATGATTCCAGTGTCGATTAAATGAGGTCAAATGTGGTATGAAAGGTCGCAGCATGAATCAAGGCAGTCATTGTATGTCATGTTTCATCCCCTGTGATCCTCTAGATATCTTTGATATTCCAGAGCCCGAATCCCATCCCTAACTCAAGCTCACTCCCACACGCGACCCACAAGAACAACTGACCCGCATCTCCCTGTGCACCGTCTCTATTCACATGGATGCATCTCTCCCCCCTCACACATCGGACTACTCACGAGTGTATTCGCCACAGCACCTCCCTCAACCCCAACAAGTACTCCCGAGGCTACTACCCCACGAGGTAGTAGGTAATATCTCTGCCCCACCATCTACAGCCCTAAGCGACCTGGTCTCACGCTTCACGCTTCACGCTTTATGCATTGCCGAATCCCATCGCTACCAAGGGGGGTGTTACCCCTACCAGTCCGTACTACTCACGGGCCACCCATTGACCATACTATACGCCTCCAACGGGGTCGTCCCATTCAACGGCTCGTAATGCATGCGCTCCCCACAGTTCTCCCGACCCTCATGCCCACTTTCCCGCAACTCCATACACCGTCCCTGCAGCAACGCCGCCACATGCGCGCCCGCCTCCCGCCCCTCGAACCACGCCCCGTGCAAGAACCCAAAGTACGGGGCGCTGGTCGCCTCGCCCGCGAACCACAGGCGGCCCGCATTGGCCCGCAGGTTCTGGTGCATCTCGAGGGTCGTCCCCGCCGGCCAGTTGGAGTAGCTGCCGTAGGCCCAGGGCTCCTGCGACCAGCGCGGGTAGGAGACGTCCGTCGGGTGCGGGATGGGGGTGGTGGGGAACATCTCGCGGAGCACGTCCAAAATCTCGGCGGTGGTTTGGGCGGTGGATTGGCGCTCGACGCGGTAGGCTTGTTCGTCGACGACGGTGACGACCAAGATATGCGAGTCCGGGAGGAAGGTGGGCGAGGAGAGGGATTGGAAGATCGGGTAGTAGCCCCGCGTGGTCGGGGAGGCGTACAGGAAGAACTGGGTGTCCGTGGGCCAGAAGGCATGGGGGAATTGCAGGAAGATCTTGGTGTAGGTGCCCATGTTGAATTTCTCGATCGCCGTCTGCTTCCACCGCGGCAAGGGCGGGCGGAAGCTCACGGCGTGGTTTTGCAGGACCCCCAGCGAGAAGGTGCAGATCGCGTAGGCGGCTTCGATGCAGGCGCCGTCGGCGGTGTGGATGGTCACGCCTTTGGGCGAGTGGTCGATGGTGGTGACGTGGGTGTTGAGTCGGAGACGCGGGCTGGGTTGGTTGCGGTGGTGGCGGAATATCGCGGCGGCTTCCTGCTCGATGATGGTGCTGTAGCCGCGCCGGTCCAGGACGAAGTGGTTCGCCTTGCCGAACTGGTTGAAGGTCAGGTTCTCGCCGGCCATCCCGAATACGAAGGAGCTCGTCTCGGGGGAGGAGGCGTCCTCCCAATCTAGATGTCGCACACAGCACACATGTTAGTCCACAGCCGGGCTCCCTTGGGTTTGGGGGTCACTGGAAGGGAAGCAAAGGGGGGGAGTATGCCCTGTCTGCCTCGGTCGGGGTTCTTCCTATGACGGATTGGCGAATTTTCCAGCGGATCATACCCCAGTTCCACCATTCAACTGCCTGGGCGGCCATGTCATTCTTGCGAGGGCGCCACCCTGCGAGGGCAAGCCCCGTGCGGGCGGTTTGGTCTTGCAGGTTCTCCATCAGGATCCGGCCGGCGTCGCGCGCGGCAATCTCGTAGACTCGAGCATATTCGTCGAGGAGATATTGATAGTCGGCCTCGCCGGTCTCGTTGTACGTTCGGAGGGAGCTGTAGTTGGAGTAGGTGTTGCGCAGATGGTGTTTTTTAGCCTGTCGGTTAGTGTGGTTCGGTGTATACAGAGTCACGACACATACTAAAGCCCAGACAGGATTGACTGTCGCAATAGTCAGTCTGTTGTTGAAGTCTGGTAGAAGGGATGGACTGGCGACGTACCAGTATCAGCCGAACCCAATCCTTGTAGCTAATATGGTGGGGCGCAGTCAGTTCTTTTTAAAGCTCAGCCTTAAACTGTGTCGAATGCGGGGAAAATACCCAGTTGGCCCCGAACTCCACCACGTACGGGTTCCCGTCCCTATCCTTCCCAAAGTCCGTATGCCACACCCGACCTCCCAGCGTCTCGCGCGATTCCACCAGAACAAAGTCGGTGACGGATGCATTGGTCAAGGCTTGCTGCTCGGGTTAGTTGGTTGAGCACGGCGGGGGGGGGGTTACTCAACACCCACATACCGCTGCAGCCACCCCGGCCATCCCACCTCCCCTGAGCCAGTTAGTGTTGACGAACAATCTTCCAAACTCTAATGCCAGTCGGCTTACAGGATGGCCACGGTCGTTTGCGTGCAGGTGTCGCCCGTCAGAGGGGTTTGCGCGACATAGGCACTTCCGGGTCGAGCCCCTATTGTAGCGAGCAAGAACGTGAGGGAGTTCAATAGATTCGAATGTGAATGCATTTCCACGCCTACAGTCTAACGACACTGCTTTTCTGCGGGTGTCGAGAACGGCGAAACAGGGGCCTAGAGGGCCTTCCACGCGGGGACTTTCGGAGGTGTGCCAGGCTATATAGACTTAGACTCCGAACACAAGGCCGACAAGAGACATCACACCCGGCTTATCAGCATGCATGCATGCTGGCACCATCCGAGTGACGGTCCTTTTCTGCAGCCAGAAAAAAAAAGGAAAAAGAAAAAAGAAAAAAAGAAAAAAGCCAGGCAGACAAAGAGGCAAGATGGACATTGCTGCAGGGCGGACGGCGATCAAATAAACCCGGGCGATCCTGCTTGGCATCCGGGAATTGCATCACCAGGGCTGCACAGGTGACTGTTCCGGGCCCTTGGCAGTCCATTGGCTCCAGGGAAACATTGGGTCGATCGCATGCTACATGCTCAAAGTGCTAAACTTAAGGGGCATGTGCCGTTCCCCGGGGTTTAAAACGAACTGGATGATTTGGACCGGAGAGGCAAGGGGCCTCGTTGATTGGCCCGATAAGCTGTGCGTGAAGTACGTACTGAGTATCATGCGTTTGCACCGGCCACAGTCAGCCAGATGGATCGATGCATTGCCTTATCGTGACTTTTGCCTGCTTTCTGACATCACGGGATTCGAAGCATACGGAGTGAATACCATGTCCGGCTCTTTATGCGAGTGAGCAGAGAGCATGATGGACCTTCAGCGAGACTGGCCGTTGTCTCGTTTGTTGACTATGGTTGACGACATGTCGGAAGATTCCACCGACTTCTCGAATGCAGGGCAACGAATGAGACAAGCCACATTAGGGATTTATTGACCGGCCAACTTGAAATCATCGCCGCATTGCCCCCGGTAAGATAGCCCGATCGGCGATAAGCTGTGGTGGGGCCATTTGGCCATGGCTATTTTCGGCAAGTTTGGCTTGTTTGTTTGAATTGGTTGGTCCCTTCCCGGTCCCCACCAAGCCAGCTGCGCCAGCTGCAACATTGCGATGGGTCAATCTGACCAGAAAGCGAGAGGATTAGCAAAACTACGCAAGACCTGTCATTGTGAACATCTATATTCTTTGCCCAAGATGAAAGGGTGAAATGCATGGATGCTATGAAACCTGGATTTAAGAAAAAACAACAAGGGGGTAATAAAACTTTTCTTTATCGACATGAACCCCTCAGAAAAGTAGAATATAAACACCAGCCGTGATCATCAGGGATATTACTCGCAGAAAGCTCAATCATCATCCATATTCAGCTCATCAAAGTCGTCAAGCAGCTCGTCCATGTTGATCTGCGGCGTCTCATCCTCGCTCTCGTGGTCCTCGTCCTCATCCATAGCATCGGCCGGTTGGGGCTGCTTCCGGACCTTGTACAGATCCAGCGTCTGGCGGAGCTCCTCGTCCTCTTCGACATCGCGCAAGAACATCTCAAAGTCCTCCTCCAGACGGTTGGCTTCCTGCTCCTTCTTGCGGCTCTGCTGGCCAGCGCTGGCGAGGGCCTCCTCCTCGTACTCGCGGGCCATGCGCTTGAGGCGCCAGTTGCGGCTCTTGGGCTTCTTCTTGCGGGCGTAGAACTTCTTGACGAGCACGACGTCCGGGATCGTCGATCCGTACTGGTGGCTCTGCTCGATCGCGTCGAAGTTGTCGTCGTTGAAGATGGTGCCGCTCAGGTGGTAGCCGAGAACGGAGTCACCGGGGTGCAGGATACCGCCAAGGTGTGTGCGGCAGAAGTAGGTGGTGTTGTTGGAGCCAAGGTCCGAGGCGCGAGCCACAGTGGCCTCGGCAAGGTGGAAACGGCCATTCGACTGGCCGGTAAGCTCGATATCCAGAATGATAAACTCCTTCAGCTGGGTGACGTCGGCGAGGTTCTTGAACGGCGACCGCCAGTACACGCCGGTTTGGACGTCGGCCGTTTGCAGAGTAGTCGGATCCAAGAAATTCACGTTGTTTCCGACGCGGTGGCAGAGGGTGAGGGGGGCGATGTTTCCAAGTTGGCGGGCAAGCTTGAGCGGCAATGCGACGAGATCGTCTTTGCAGATGGGGATCAACTCAATCGAGAAGGTGTGCTTGTAGGACTTGGTGCTGGTGTGAACATCCATGGAAATGAGCTCCTGGGACTTCTGCATCTTGCACGGTACCACAGAGGCAAGGAAGTCGACCATCTTCTCGGCGTGGTTCCGCTGCGCAAAGTAGAAATCGATACCATCTTTGGCCTCCTTAATATTCACCGTATCCTTGTGAGCGTCGTTCTTCAGGATCAACTGCTCCAGGTGAAGGAAGGTACGCTTGTGAGGGACCTTCTGTCGGACCTGGACTGCAGCTCGCCACGTGTTGGGCGTGAAACTCTTCTGGCAATCTGCAGCGATGTTAGCGAGCCTGATTGACGCAAGCCTGAGTCGAACTGGAGCGAAAGTGGTTGCAAGACATACCAGGACACTGCTGGCCAGCCACCACGTATTCCACCTCAAAAGATTGTTGGATAATCGTGCCCTGGAAGGCCTCCTGCTGAATTGTGATGTTGACCTTGATGCGCTTCGAGTGGGGTTCGGTCCAGATGAAGTTGGCGTCGATGATGCGGACTTTCGACAAGCCACGAAGGCGGCGCAGACAGAGGGCGAGGAGTTCCTTGGACTCGAGGGTCGCAACCACCCACTGGTTGGGGGGCTGGAGCCACCGCTCGCAGTCTTTGCAGCAGAGGAGGGTCGATTCGCGCTGGATGCTAGATTTCGGAGTAAATCAGCATAAGTTCCGTCTGCGGACCCGATACCAAAGTAAAATCCGAACTTACCCTTGGGTGACGTCGACGTTCAGTTTCAGACAGTCCTGGCACATAGCACCAGCAGAAGTGGTTCCATCGATGGGGGCACCGCAGTTGCAGCACAGAATCCTAGGAAAATATGAGCGAGATTCCGGGCAAACCAGGCTGGCGATAAGACTCACGTCGCAGCGACCGGGGGCTGGTCCTGCAGCCCCAACATGGGAACTGGCGCATCCAAATCCATCGACATCTTGACCTCCGGACGCAAACCGCAAATGCACCAAAGCGAAGAGTTGGGGTGTTAGAGATTGGGAGTTGACGCAGGATCGGACTCGGTATTTTTTTTTGCCCCGCCACTGGCCAGTCAGCAGCTGACTCAGCCGTATGTCCTGTTTGCACTTATCGATAACCGCCCTGCCAGTTCGGGTATAGCGCGGGTGTGTAGTATTATGCCAGTATGAACTTCACTACCACAACAATTGTATAATCCAGGTATGTACGCCGTCCTGCCCATGCTCTTGGGGCGATGCTGAGTGTATTAGTCATCATATACACAGCCATGTCAGACCACAACAAACAGCTTGTGGATGAGCAGGCGTCGTCGCAGTCACACCGGCCTCTGGCTCTGGGACTGTGTATCATGCTATGCATTCTAAATGTTACCGCTGCCAGTCGGATACACACGCAATATTGATCTTACAAGAGCCTTGTCGCAGAGTACTATACGCTCGCTGTTGCTCTGGTCTGTTTATACCCAAGACTCTATGGTTAGTTCTCTGATGCTGATACCGCTGCTATGCAGCCTAGACAATTGCCAATCTTGTGCCCATTTCCAGCCTAGTCGGCACACATTATGCAATGGGTCTTCATTCTCATGTGTCTAAGATCTCACCCAGCTTCTATATCCTAGCCCATACGTAGTCCGCATATTCGGTAAGTCGACCCGCTGATCGAATGTACTGAAATGTTAGTTCCGCAGTGGACTTACTGCAGGTATTTCACAGTGTACATGGCTGGTCATCTCCAGGTCCGCGATGCTGGCCACGAAAGTAGCCATGCTGCTTTACTATTGACGGCTTTCCCTCACGAGCAAGTTGGCCTTCGAACTGTGTTATGGGGCAATATAGCATACGCCGTTCTCGAGGCCACTAGGTCGATGACCGCTTCAATACTGTCGTGCATCCGTGGCAGCCACTTCTGCAATGGTATTCATCCGACTCTAAGTCATTGGATGCTGTAGGGTCAAAGAAGCCAATACGCTACGCTGTCGCCGTCGCCTGCACGGTTGTGCTCGAAATGTCCTCTTATTTGATCTCCGACCTCTCCTACGCAGGTGCTGCCCCCCTTCTTATCGCCAACGTGCGATTTCATCCCGCGATTGTCCGTACTTCAGCCCCCTCTCCGCGTGTCTCCGTCTTTCCTGGCGCGCCGCTTCGTCGAGCAATCTTGCTGCCAAGTGCGCTGAATACATTGACTCGATGGAGCCGGCGACCGGTAAGACGTTGATAGCACGTAAGCATAAGGCTGACCAGCCGGGTACCATGGAGATTATGGAGCAGCTACGATGCGGAAACACATCGCGGGTTGACCCAGGCACGCCGCAGCTGGATCATATCGTTGTCAATATTGTTGTGGAAGTGGCCCATGAAGAATTCTGGTTTTCTTTGTACTGATTATATTTTCTGATGGTTTATCCTTCTCGCGTGAAGATGATCTATTTGTCCGATGCATTGCGACCTGAGAGCTGTGGATTCTATGAAAAGAACGAGCAGAAAGTTTTTCGGCCGAGTACAGTACCTCGGACCCACCGGGCCCTGAATTGCGGCCCGTCACGCAATCGCAGCCTCCGATCGCACGGTTCTTTGCAACAACTAGTTAGCATGTGGGGTATTGCGAATCCCCCACACTACTATCGCCAGAGCACTGCAGGCGGTTTTGGGTGCATCCCAAACTTGGGGCCAATTACGACATCATTTCCGGGATTGACGAATCGCTCAACTCCCGGCAATCACTTTGGGATCGACATGTGCGGATCACCAATTGTCTTTGCTACGCCATACTCATGCCATATGAGCAATCCGTGAAGATGTGTATAAATGCTCTCTGCTGTGTCCTCGAGTGACTTGTAGATTACAAGCAGGAGCATTACCACCGCATTCACACACCGTGAACATCCACCATGGCGCAAGCAAACGTTCCAGCGACGGATCCCACTGTCTACAGCGCCTATCAAGACCAGTGGTCCTCACTTCCTACCACAGCAGAAGGCTGGATCAGCAGAGCACGAGAGGTGGCCGAAGTACTCTCTCGGGATGCCGCACAAAGGGACCAGGAGAACAAATCGCCCCGAGCCGAGGTGGCTCTGCTGAAGCATTCCGGACTGCTGAAGCTACTGGGTCCTAAGAAGTACGGAGGAGGTGAGCAGTCGTGGGAAGTAGGGTACAAAGCCATCCGAGAAGTGGCCAAGGCGGATGGGTGAGCTTTCCACATCGCACTTCCTGCATACCTTCTTTCACCGCAGCTCACAATTCCCCAGTTCCATCGGCATGCTCCTCGGCTACCACCTCCTCTGGTCCACCACCGCCAATGTAGTCGGCACCCCCGACCAAATCGAGCGCACACACGAGCTGATCATTACCAACAACTACTTCGTCGGTGGGGCGGTCAATCCGCGCGACAGCGACCTCAAGATCACCTCTGACGGGGAGCACATCGTCTTCAACGGCGCCAAATTCTTCAACACGGGGGGCGTGGTCTCCGATCTCACCGTGCTCGAAGGCGTCCTCGAGGGCACAGACCAACACATCTTCGCCCTCGTGGAGACCCGACAGCCCGGGATTCAATTCGCGCACAACTGGCAAAACATCGGTCTGCGTCTGACCGAGTCCGGAGGCGTGAAGATCGATAACGTCCGCGCCCCGTGGACCGACGCGCTGGGCTGGGACGCCTCCACCAAGCAACCACGACAAGAGGTACTCGGCGTTCCTTTCGCCAGCTTGCTGCTACCCACGTAAGACTGCCCTACCTTACCAGTACTGTCCAAGGGCAGAACTAACCTCCTACAGAATCCAACTAGTCTTCAGCAACTTCTACCTGGGCATCGCCCTGGGCGCCCTGGACTTCGCCGCCAAATACACCACCGCCCACACGCGCGCCTGGCCCTTCGGCGGCGACAACAAGACCTCTGCCACCGACGAGTTCTACATTCTAGAGCGGTACGGGAACTTCTTCGCGCATCTGCGTGCCACGGAAGCGCTGGCCGATCGCGCGGGCGAGCAGCTCGCCGGGCTGTATGCGCGCCACGGCGCGGACCGATTGGCGCTCACGGCGGAGGAACGTGGGGAAGTGGCCGAGTGGATTGCCAGCGTAAAGGTCGTCACCACAGACGTGGGGCTGCGGATCACCAATGGCATCTTCGAGGTAACGGGGGCGAGGGCCACCTCACTGAACGTCGGGCTCGATCGGTTCTGGCGGGATATTCGGACACACACACTGCATGATCCCGTCGCGTATAAGAACCGGGAGCTGGGGCGGTATATCTTGTTGGGGGAGCTGCCGGCGCCGACGTGGTACACTTAGTTGGGTGTGTGGTGGTGTTTTAATGACGATGCTGGTTTACTTCTTATGCGTGTTAATTTGCAATCAACTTTGGAACCTTTTGTACAGTCGAGCTTGGTTATCGCATCTGATTGCGTGTAATCTAAGACTTGCAGCTACTGCAACTTCTCGTTAGGATCGTGCCAGCCGGCGTTAGGGCTCACCCAGACATACTGTACATAGACTAGGAAGCAATATGACGACTCATAGACTATGGGAAGTATTTTGAGTCGTGTGGCCGGATGTAATGTGACTACATGAAAGTCAAATGAGGTCAACTTGAAGCTCACTTAAGGGTACATGCTGCCTGATTTACAACAGAACATACAACATAAGTATGATACTAGTAGTTACTAAGCACCATTTTATGGAAGCTATGTTGGGGATTGAAGTACTCATCACACTGCCATCTTTCTTGCTCTATTCTACGTGGATAATCTTTCAATCAGCACACTAACTTCCTATTCTTAGAGCTTAATCTCAGTCTCGGCCTGCGCCCTCCTTGTTCGGACATACAGACAAACGCCGTCAAAGACCGATGGATGCTTACCAATCGTAAATCTAACCCAGCCCTAGCAGCAAATAAAACAGGCCACAGGGTACTTCTTCTTCGACAACAAGCATTGACAACTCCTGACAACTTTCCCAACCCAAGTATGGCTTGGGGCTACGACACGTGACTATGCATGATCTTGGAGGCAGTGACATTGTTCAATGACGAACTGCATCCAACGAGTATTGAATAGTATTAATAACAACCAAGAGGGCTCAGGAGCAGGTCCCTGAGACATGTCATACCGTCTATGCTCCATTGTGAGCTTATACCTATCAGCGCGGATGCTTCCCAACAGCAACCTTCGCAGCGGCCAACTCAAGCAGCTCTGGATGTGGACCTAGCTCTGGCTCAGGCTCATGTGCTGTTTGCATTGCGTCTCAAGGATCGAGTCAGACCCCGTGAGGGTATAAGACTATGCCTCAACTACTCCTCCACCTGGTCAGCCAGCACCACCTTCCCAAACATCCGCCGATTCCAGACATGCGCATACGCCTCCCTCAACTCGCCGAACCCAAAGACCCGCTCATCCACGACAGGCCGGAGATCGAACGCCTCGATGGCGCGGTTCATCTCCTCGAACTGGATGCGGTTGCCGACCTCGATCCCGCGCACCACACACGCCCGCAGCAGCGGCTCCAGGAACGAGGGCCCTCCATTCCCATCCTGGCCCCCGAGAAACCCGATGACATCGATCTCGCCGCCGCGGGCGACGCACCGGAATGACTGCGCGATGGTCTGCGGGCCGCCGACCTCGATAACTCGCTGACAACCCAGTCCCTCACGCGTCAACCGCCGCGCACTCTCGCCCCACTCCGGATCCTCGCGGTAGTTGAGGACATGCTGCACGCCCATCTCCCTCAGCCGGCACGCCTTGTCATCCGAGGAAGTGGTGGCGATAACAGTCGCGCCGGCAGCGAGGGCGAAGCGGACGGCAAACAGCGCGACGCCGCCCGTGCCCTGCGTGAGGACTGCATCCCCTGCCTTGAGCGGGGTGAGGCCGTGCAGGGCGTTCCAGGCGGTCAGCGCCGAGCAAGGGAGGGTGGCGGCCTCGGCGTAGGTGAGGTTGGCGGGCATGCGGATTAGGGCTTGAGCGGGGAGGACGGCGTGGCGCCGGAAGGTTCTCAGGTCTTGCTGCATCTGATCGAGGGTTGGGGCCGCTCCGTGCAGGAACTTGGGGTAGTAGACCACCACGACGCGGTCGTGGCGCTGCAGCTCCTGCACGTGCGAGCCTACTGCGATCACCTCCCCAGCCCCGTCTGTCCCGGGGACCTTGGTCTCTCCATCTTCTGGGTATGACCAGGGAAAGGTGCCGTTTGCGATCGAGATGTCCGGGTAGTTGATCGCCCAGGCGTGCAGGCGCACTAGGACGTCTGTGGGCCCTATGGCTGGTAACGGCAGGGAGTCATTCCATACCAGCGCCTCGCTGCCATCGCCGCCGCGGCTGGTGCCGTGCAGCTCCCAGCCGCTGGTGACGGTTGGTAGTTCTGTAGATGATAATGATGATGACGACATGCTGTGGACCTGATGTTGCACGGAGAATTGAACCTCTTCTAACTGCGGTGTGGAAAGAGGCAGTGGGGAGGCTTGAAATATAACCTGGAATCGGGGGTTGGAGTCTCCAACACAGCCCTGATATCCAATGACCTCATGAACACTTGAACACATCAACGCCATTGATTTCCACGAGCGCTTACAGATTGGAGATCCTAGACACGCCCCGGGTTCGCTTTGCAATACCCACCCAATATTCAGATCATGGATATCATAGTTCAATTCTTGGCTCAACCTCCTAGGTAACATTGCACCTCCAACCCGTGGGCATCACAAAACCCGGACCCCAAAATGACACACTGGCGCTGCAGCTCCTGCACGTGCGAGCCAAAGGCAAAAGAAGAACAGGAACAAAGAAAGAAGAAAAAAAATCAAATATAATAGCAAGCCAACTCTACAAAGCAAAATTAATCACCGGACGAAAGCGAATGGTGCGGTTGTTCATCGTCTCAAAGGCCTTGTCAATATCACGAAGCGCAAACTCCTGCGTCTGACATTCCACGCCCAGCTGGCTGGCAAAGTCCAGCGCCTCGCGGGTCTCCGGCGCAAACCCGGAGGACCAGGTGCGAACGTTCTTGCCAAAGACTATCAGCTCCGTGAAGTCCAACGTGACGCCATTTACCGCTAGATAGAGTAGAAGAGGTCTGAATCAGCATCGCATCATTGCAACCCTAACAGCGGACGGATACACTCACGCGCAATTAGTAGGATTGAACCTCCGGGGGCAAGGGCAGCAGTCATTTTCTTGACCCTACAAAAAAAATAAAGTCCAATCAGTCTTTGGCACGGCCCAAAACCCGTTCGATACATAGTCATGCCCTGACAGGGAAGAACAGCGACCTGGGCAGAGTAACGGAGAAAGAGAACTCACATCTCCGGATCATTGCAAAACATCATAACCAACGAAGCCCCCTCCCCATCCTGCTTCAGCGCCTGCACAGGATCTTCCGAGCCCGTGTGAACGAATTGGTGCGCCCCTAGCGCCAACGCAGCGTCGCGTTTGTCCTTCGTCCCGGAAACGGCGACAGTGCGATAGCCCATCTTGCGTGCGAACTGGATGGCCAGATGGCCCAGGCCGCCGATGCCACAGATGGCCACCGTGTCGCCCTGCGGGATGTGGAATCTACGGATACCATTGAAGGCCGTGATGCCGGCGCAGAGGAGCGGCGCTGTTTTGACTGGGTCCATGTCCGTGGGCACGCGGATGGCGGCGTCGGCGCGGAGCGTGCAGTACTCGGAGACTTGAGAGCATAGATCAGAATCTGTACGAAAGACAAGACAGGGAGGGGGGAGGGGGGAGGTAGCATTTACATCCACCATCGCGCGTGACACCGTTGACTTCTAGATTCGAGCAGATCTGGGGGGTGCCCCGGGCACAAGCCTTGCAATGACCGTCGTTGCCCCCATGCCAGGCGCCGCCGGCTCGATCCCCAATCTTCCAGTTTTTCACGTTGAGTCCGAGGGCGACAACCTCGCCGATGACCTCGTGGCCGGCGATAATAGGGTACTTGGTGCTAAGGACGAGAGTTAGGGTCGGTCTTGTGTGGCAGTTTACCGAGGGGGAAGAGGTACAGTACATGAAGTCAAACTCGCCGTTTTGAGTTGCCACGTCCTAGCGGTCCACAGAGTCAGGACCCTCTTTGCTCATAACCTGAAGGATCCGGGCAGGGTATAGATTAACTTACACTGTGGCAGACACCACACGCCAGAGACTTGATCAGAATCTCGCCCTCAGCCGGTTGCTTGACGGGCACGTCCCGCAGGGACCACGGGGCGTGCGGGCCGTCCAGGACGACAGCCTTGCAGGTTTCAGGGAAGACAGAAGCCATGGAGTTCACGAGCTATTGTTATTGCGAAGGAACAAATGATGTTTGTGTAGGGGGGGGGTGAAAGCTCACTCTCTGGAGAGGTAAGTAAGGGTAAGATGGAGAGATCTGAGTCGCTTGACTTGAAGCTGGTATACTATTATTTATTTTGAATAGTGGATAGAGGTGATATATGTAGGTCCATAGATGTATGTCTTGCAGATATAGGGGAGTATAGACAACTAAGCTGACTCTGCATCACGATGCCGTCACAGCTCATTAACATGCATTCCCGCATGCGGGCCGCACGATGCCGCACATCAGCCCTGACTGCATGACATCAATCCCACCACCTTCCAGGGAGTGAATGATATCTTGGCTATTCCGTAGCTAGGTAGCTAGGTATCCTTCTTCCCAGGCTCTTCCGGCTGGTTGCCGGTTCCGATTCCATGCTTAGGGGGTACACAAGCGAATGAAGTCACGACAATCAGGGCCGTGTCTCTCATTGCGCACCCCATTCGGGGACCCCAGCTCTGAAACCACATATCGAGGGAAAAACCATGAATAATTCGACATTGTCAGGATCACCAAGATAAGCGCGCCTCTTATCCTGTGTGTGACATAGGACAAGGTATCGAATTCGAATTGGAGACTCCAACTCTCTTTCCAAGCGCCAAGCCCTGACTTCATCCTAGACCGGAGGCACTCAAACATGCTTATATGTAACCCGTGGGACCACCTTCATGCCGTCATGCAGCATCCTCCAGACAAGCCAAAGTCGAAAGCTAGAGACATCAGACCAGCTCCCAACAGTACCGATGGCATCCCCCTCCCAAGCCCCTCCCTCCCCCACAGCCACCAAGCCCGGCTCTCCGCACACGGTGCGCGTCGCCGCCGTGCAAGCCGAATGCTGCTACTTCGACCTCCCCGCGGCCGTCCAAAAGACATGCGACCTGATCATCGAGGCAGCCAACAAGGGATGTGATTTGATTGCGTTCCCGGAGGTTTGGATCCCTCAGTACCCCGGTTGGATCTGGTGCGAAGCACCCGTCATCCCCATCCCCCACCAAACCCAACCCTAACCCCCCAAAACACAGGCAACGCCCCATCGACTTCGAAATGGTGACCGAGTACATGAAGCACAGCCTGCGCCGCGACTCCCCGGAGATGCGCAGCATCCAGGACTGCGCCGCGGCGCACCACATCGCCGTGTGCCTGGGGTACTCGGAGAACGACAACGACTCGCTGTACCTGTCGCAGACGCTGATCGGCCGCGACGGGGCCATCCGCATGCACCGCCGGAAGGTCAAGCCCACGCACGTCGAGCGCACCATCTACGGCGAGGGCAGCGGCGGGTCGCTGATGAATGTCGTCGAGGAGGCTGGCGTGGGTCGCATCGGGGCGTTGTCGTGCTGGGAGCACTCGCAGCCCTTGCTGCGGTACCACACCTACTCGCAGGGCGAGCAGATCCATGTCGCGGCGTGGCCGCCCATGAATCACTATGCTTCGTTTCCGGCGGGGAGTGCGTTGTGGTCGCAGTGTCGTGAAGGTTAGTCCACCCCCGTCTTTGTGTTGTATTTGAGGGAGGATAGCTTGATGTCTGTTGGGTGCAAGTGAAAAAGGAGGAAGAAATGGCTAACCGTGACGGAAACGATAGGCGCCCACAACCTCTCCACCACCCACGCCATCGAAGGCAACTGCTTCGTGGTCCTGGCCTCCTCGTTCTATACCCAAGCCGGCATCGCGCGGATGAAGCTCGGTGACGGCAAGTTGTACCACATCGGCGGCGGCGGCTGCGCCTGCATCATCGGTCCCGATGGGCGCAAGCTGACGAAGGATCTGGGCGAGGAGGAAGAAGGGCTCGTCATCGCAGACATAGATCTCGACGAAATCAAGAAGGTCAAGGCCATGTTGGATGTCCACGGACATTACAGTCGGCCGGACCTGCTGTGGTTGGGGGTCGACAACCGGGAAAAGAAGCAGGTTCGGGCTGAAGTTGAGCTGCAGGGGACGTATGTTTGAGGGGCCGGTGGGTGTGTTGTTAGCTCGTTGCACTATGCGAGGTATCATGGAATTATCCATGTGTCAATGGTGTTGTTGGTAGTTGCAGCGTAATAGTGCATATGTGTGAGTGAGAAGATGAATATGCTGATAGGCAATGTTCAAGTTAATCCCATTATTCAAGAAGCTCGAGGGTTTGTTCGATGCAAAGGAGAAACTTGCCATCCGTGCAAAAACAGTTTCTTCTTCGCCTGTCAATTATGACTATTCATAAAGTAGCCTCGACAGGACGAAAAGAAGACGTGGTTCGAACAGAAAAGTGGATAGATAGCAAATGACCCGACAGCATCCAATATAACACAGAGTAGGAGCGTTCCTACGAACTCTCCTTGGTGTGTGCAGACTCGAAAGCATTGTCACAAGAGCATTCGGTTTCTTCTAGACCAGACCAGAGGCGTTCCATGGCTCTGCCCCTTAACTCACCTAACTACAAGAAGGATGATGCGCAAGAGAGCCACTTTGACGTACCTGAACCGTCACATGCAGCCGGCCACGGTCGACCCCCCTTCCTGGTGCGGGGTAAAAATCTTCAATTGCCTGTTGCAGTCAATGCCGAGAATGAGGGTGGAATGACATGCATGGCTGGGACTGGGGATGGCTGTTTTCTGTTGGTCTTTGTGCCATCCAAAGATCGAGTCACATCACATCCTGACTCAAGTCCGCAACAGGCGAAGAGACCATATCACCAAGCTCAGGAACGATGGCTTCAAAGTCTGTTCGAGTCTCCAAAGACTCTGTCAACAAGTGAGTGCTAAGAATACAGTTGCTGCATTGAATGCTAATCCAGACCCAGATTTCAGGGGAGGACCATTGAGATAGTGGTAGGAGATGAGCAAAGGGTCTACGGCGTCCATGAAGGCTTGGTTCGTTCCTCTTCCCCGTTCTTCGACAAGGCTCTGGCAGGGAAATGGAAGGAGTCCGCACAGCGCACCGTCCAACTTCCGAACGATGAACCGAAGATAGTTGCGCTCTACATCCACTGGCTCTACTACGGCACACTGCCGGTGTTTTGTGATGAACTGGTTGAAATCGGAAACTCCGAATACTTGGACCTGGCCAAGGCCTATATCCTGGGCGACAAGATCTTGGACACTTTGTTCCAAGACACCGTCATCGATGCGATTATCGAGAAGAGCCGTTCCACAGCGCAAGACGGACACAGGTGGTACCCTGACGGGGCAGTGTTGGATTATGCATATCACAACATCGCCGAATCGGCTCAGATCCTTGAGTTATTTGTAGATATGTATGTGACGAAGGGGAATAGTTCATGGCTGCAGGAATGGACAGATCCTACCCATATCCCGCAGCCTTTTCTTCTGAGTGTTGCTTCCAAGCTGTTGGACCGACGTGCTGTTTCTAAGGAGCCCCTTGAAGCCTTGATTTATCACATCCATGGCAGAAACCATGATAAGTAACTTTGCATACTTTCAAATTGCACCCAGGACTAGGTCCCCTACCAATTAGGTATACATGCATATCTTCAAACGACTGTCTCGCCTGCAAAGGCGCTATGCACGGATCCTGCAAATCAAGACCTGTATCCGACATTTTACTGCACATAGGCATGCGCGGTGTGCCAATGCATGATGATATATAAAGCTGCCGACCAAGAATCAAGAAATCGTTTTATATTGGCCGCCCCTGAGTACCCCGGATCGCTTGCATATTTACGCCTCTCTAGGTGAGCTCTTTCCCACGCGAACCAGGACCTTGCTAATGCTAGTAAGGCCCTACATTAGCTCCCCGGGGTTATATTGCATTTTCAATGGAAGCTCTAATGTGGTTTGTTCATATTCGTGAGAAACGCGGACATCTTCTGTCTTTGTTCATCCCTCATGCAAATATATCATCAAGCAAAGATAACCCAAAAAGTCTATATACACAGAGTATAATCATATACAGATCCTGGAGATGAGACTAGCCCATCTAGCCATCTAACACAAACCCCTCCCACGTCCTCATATACTCAATAAACCGCTCACTCAGCCCGGAGCTCTTAAGATACTCCGCCGTCACCGGTAGCCCAGGCGCGCGATAGTTCTCATCCACCTCTGCCTTCTTGGGCAAATCCGGATCAAGAATAGCAGCCTTGCCGAGCATAACAAAGTCGCACCCCGCGTCGAGGACCTCCGCCGCCTGGCGCGCTGTCATCACGTGGCCCGACGCGCCGACGCGCACGCCCGCCGGCCGCGGGAGGTCGGTGAAGACGCTCAGCAGCGTCTGGCCCTCGAACGGCGCCTCGGCGGCCATCTTGCGGTAGTCCCAGACGGCGAGGTCGAGGTAGTCGATCTGGGCCTCGCGGAGGGCGCGCGCGGCGACCTCACGTATCTCGGTCAGCGGGACCCCGTACCGCTCCATGGAGATGCGGAGGCCGATCTGGAAGTCCGGCCGGCAGGTGCGCCGGATGCCGTCAATAATTTCGAAGAGGAACCGGCACCGGTTCTCGAAGCTACCGCCGTAGTGGTCGGTGCGCTGGTTGAAGGCGGGCGACAGGAACTGCATCGGCAGCCAGCCGAACGCCGCGTGCACCTCGACCCCGTCGAAGCCAGCGCGCTGGGCCCGCACCGCCGCTGCAACGAAGGCATCCCGGGTTTCTTCTACTTGAGTAAGAGTGAGGCCTCGCACGCCCGATGAGATGGTGGAGGGTCCGACGGGCGTGCGGCCGCGGATTAGCGCGGGGGAGACGCGGGCGCCCCCGTGGTGGATTTGCACGGAAGACACCCCGCCGTGCTGGCGGATGGTATCGGCCACGCGGCGCAGGCCCAGCAGATGCGCATCGCTCCAGATACCTATCTGGCCCGGGAACGCCTTTCCGTCGGGATGTACATTAGCGGCGCAGGTCATGACCATGGAGAAGTTGCCGGTCGCGCAGCGAGAGAGCCAGTGCACATCAGCGTCGGAGACAGTGCCGTCGGTGTCATCGCTCTGCCAGTTTGTTAGGGGCGCGAGCAGAATCCGATTCTTGAGGGCGGGACCACGAGGAAGGGTCAAAGGTCGGAAGAGATCGGCGACGCCCATGGCGAGAAAGACCTTAAAGTCCCGGCAGATAATGAAAGAGGTGGAACTGATAAGAGAGGTCAAGACCTGCAAAGATGATTGGTATCTTTCTCGCCGAGTAAGGCAGTCATGCGAGGATTTAGCTCATCTTGAAGAGAGGCCTTGGGCAATAGCGGCAAGATCTTTCGGCAATGGCCAAGATTGATATTAATTGGAGATTCCCGTGCAAAGTCTAGTAGCCAGTGCTAGTAAGCATGGAGAAGAAGATTGTCGAACATAAGGACCGAAATTCTATACCCACCTTGGTGACCGTTAGTTGGAGACTCCAAATGACATTCATCGTTGGCGCCGTCAAAAGCCGGGACTTGCCACCCGGCCCCCATCGAACTCCAATTCCCCTAAAATTTCAGCCACATCTAGATGATAAGCTACCGATGGGCATGTACTTGTAAGACTTTGTCTAAGACGGAGAGTCCCATGGCCCGTCGGTCTCGTTGCTGCTGGACAAGAGACAAAGCTACCTCGTACGCCTCCCTTGCCATCTGTGTCTGGTAGTGTGACGCTACCATGCGAAGAATCTTCAAAGCATCTTCCAATATATTGAGAGCTTGCGGGCGGTCTATCACAATCAGGGTGCAGGAAATTTGAAAAGGAATGTTCAAAACATGCCACCACGGCGAGGACTGGGCGACCAGGCTCTCGACTACACGGATGCTGGTACCCATCAATTCCAGGATGGTGTCCAGGGCCCACGCGGATAGTGATCTTCCCAGTGCAGATGCGCGACGGAAGATACAGAGTGTAATGTTGCATTGCAGGAGCTGAAGCATGGGATGAGGCGGGTACATCGCGCACACATCGCGCAGTGCGCCCTCCAGCTCACTCAAGTCGTGGTAGTGCTCGGGCGAGGTGAGCAGCATCGACACAAGGTATAACTCGCGCTGTTCGATCGTCCAACCGGTGTGCGGCAGTCGGACGGAGGCGCCCCGCAAGTCTACCTGAGACTTTCCGAAGTCCAGCGAAACCCAGGTGTTGAAAAGGCGGGCGACGTGGTAGACCTTGCGCCGGCGTTCCGAAGAGCAGCCTTCTGCAGTAGTCTGCTGGGCCAGGTATGAGTTCGTATCCGTGTCGAAGTGCATCTTGCTGGTCTCGATCATGTGCATCAGCGTGCAACTGGCCATCCAAGTCGCATGCGGTGTACTGTTGAAGCGCAGATAGATGACACGGAGCAGCCATCCAACCACATGGTCGACATGAGGTTGTGGAAGCTGGCTGGAGTATTCGAGAGTCACCCGTGCGCTATAAACTAGTTGCCGCTCGAGCTCTGAGCCTTTGGTCTGACGATCATTATCGAACAGACAACCCAGCGCGGCAATGCCCAGGAGGAGCGAATCGACAGCACTGCATGACACCGGGACATTCCAACGTTCTACGATAGCCTCCTCCACTTCAGCACGATCGAGAAAGTCGTAGACAGGGGTTATCTGAACGAAGTAGCTAGAGGCAAGACTGGTCATCTTTCCAAGGGTCAAAAGGTCCGTCAGCCCCACCACATTCGGTAGAAATTCCAGCTCGGGGTCAAACCCAAGATTATAGGCGTAGGGATGTAATGGCAAGGCCGGGTCGGAAGTTTCACTCTCCCCCCTTGCTGCTAACCGCTGAACAAAGACTGCGGGTGAGTTCGCCTCCAGCAGTTGGAGCTGCGTTTGTCTGTCGACCGAAGAAGGCGCATGACCATCTTTGTCGCTGGGATCTCCTGCTAGGCGGTTCCGGGAAGGGGGTTTCGCACGACGTCTCTGTTGATAAAAGCATTCATGGTTCGTACGGGTGCAGTACGAGCATGGAAGCTCGCCGTTGCATTTCCGCTTGCGGTCTCGACACGACGTGCAGGCTCTGCTGGACCGTGAGTTCTCCATGCTGGATCCTGGCGGAACGTGATGCGGAGCTTTCGCTGACGAGCCTCTAGGGGCTGATCACATGAAGTAAGGTAACTAGTGTTTGGAGACCCCGAGTTCTTGATGGACATAACATCATACAGCGCCTGCGGGCCGCATCAATGCCGCATCATCCGCATCTCCGCAATCTTGCATCAGTGACGAGAAACCGTGCATGTCTCAATCTGGTAGAAGAATGTGTTCCTCCTCGCGTCGACCAAGACTCGCGTTATCAATTTTTGGGTCACGCTGCTCAGCCTGTCATACCAGAATTCAAGATGGTCATCCACAGCGCGGGGGAACACTCTTCGTCCATATCTTCCGCAGCGGAGAAGCAACAGCCGCGCCCTCAGCACTTGACATTCGCAACAGATTTATCTTTTTTGTTGGGATCTCATCCTGTCCCACCCCCTAAATTGAAGCATCTTGAGTCCCCTTATGAATGGACACGACAGTACAAAGGGGTCATGACTGGAGTGTCATGCATTGCAACTCTATTTGCCTCCTTCGCGGCGAGCTGCTATAGTCCCGGAGCAGCGCAGATGGAAGCCGAATGGCATGTCAGTCAAGTCGCTAGTCTGGTCGGGATCACGACCTTCACCAGCGGTTTCGCAATTGGCCCTATGTTCCTCGCCCCTTTCTCGGAGATCTATGGGCGGAAGCCAGTCTTCATCGCCACGGCCATCCTTTTCACGGTTTGTCAAGTATGCTGCGCAGTCACGCGACTGTATCCCGGGTACGTACGGCATGTATCCGAGCTTATCCCCCTCGCCTACCCTCTGTTCTTGACTCTTGGCTTCTGGCGTACCATGCAAAGACTGACTCTCTAGAGGGAATCGTGAAGAATGTTGGTAGCACGCTTCCTCTGCGGCATCGGAGGCTCCACTTTTTCCACCATGGTGGGTGGGATTATCGCGGACATTTACCACGCCCAGAATCGTAACGCTCCGATGGCTCTCTTTTCCTGGGCCGCACTCTTCGGCACGGGTCTTGGGCCCTTGGTCTGTGGATTTATCAGCCAATACACCGGCTGGCGTTGGATCTTCTACATCCAGATTATTATCGCTGGCTTGATAACCGCGGCGGTCCTGGCCTTCTTCCGCGAAACACGCGGACCCGTTATTCTCCGCGAGAAAGCCCGACGATTGAACGAATGGCACAGAGCCATGGAGGCAGATGCGGCTGCCACTGCCACAGGGGAACAAACGGCTCAGGACACAGACAGACAAGAGCTCAGGCGCATGGACATGGTTCGATGGCAGGTGGCTGCGGATGCGGAACGTGCTGGAATCCTGCAGCTGCTTCGGACCTCGCTGCTGCGGCCTTTCACCATGCTTTTCACTGAGCCTGTTGTCTTCTTCTTCTCCCTTTGGGCAGCCTTCAGTTGGTCGGTTCTCTACATAAATCTCTCTGCCATCCCGCTCGTCTTCGAGACCGCTTACTCGTTCTCGCTCTCGTCTGCCAACGCCATTTTCGCAGCCTCGTGTATCGGGAGCACGGTGGCGCTAGCCTTATGCCTGGTACAGGAGTCTCTGGCAACCAGCTTCTGGTACACGCGCAAGCGAGATCATCAGTCCATGTGGAATTCGGTGCCCGAACACCGGCTGTATTTCAGCTGTGTGGAGAGCTTGCTTCTACCACTGGGCCTTTTCCTGTTTGGGTGGTCAGCGCAGTACCAGGTGCACTGGATAGTACCTGCTGTGGCGGTGGGAATCTCTACTGTCGGAATCTTCTCAATCTATCTCTCCGTGTTTAACTATCTGGCCGACACCTATCATCGTTACGCCAGTTCCGCTTTGGCTGCCCAGAGCTTTTGTCGGAATATGCTGGGCGGGGTTTTTCCTCTCATCTCTCGGCAAATGTTCACTCATCTAGGATTTGGCGCTGCAGCCAGTCTGCTTGGCGGCGTGGGCATGGCTTTGACACTCGTACCGTGGATCCTGGTCTGGTGTGGGCCCTTCATCAGAAGACGGAGCAAGTTGGCCCGGGAGATCATGGATTGATTTTGAAAGCAGAGAGTAACAGAAAGTCGCGGTAAGAGCGCAATCCGGAGGGCACCTGACACATCACCCACTGCTTTTTCTTTTCACGCAATGCCCAGGTTCATGTTGTCACCCGACTTGTCGAGGGGGATTTCAAAGATCCGGGCATCAATTCCGCGTACCGATCCAGACTCTGGCCAACGAACCTCACCATCGGCCAAGGGCTATTGCAAACCTTGAACATCTGTGCCCAAACTTTGACGACTGCAGAGCTGAGGAAGCTGGCAGTTCGATGCAAGGCCTCCAGCCGATAATCATCAATTTCATGACTGATGTGGATTGTCTCGTCCTGTGACATAAACGCTTCCCGTACGACACGGATAATCCACCGGACAACGCGTGTTTCCAACTCTATGTGGGCCACATTAGTCTTGCGATAAGAGTGAGGGGCGATAACAACCTACCAGACAGTGTCTGCTCCTCATAGGAAGCTGCCACTACTTGCAGCCACTTACTCAGGAAGATAGCACATTCCAGATCACAGACAGCATGATCAACGCTCCAGCCGAAAGATTTGAATTGAGAAAGATAAGAAGTGCCCGCCTGTACAGGAATGTTCAGGGAATGGACAGAATGTAGCAAGGCATGTATGAGATGAGGACCGCGCGTAGGCAGGGGCGCCTCGTACAAGGTCGCGGCGACTATTGCGGGATCGCCGCTCTGTAGATTGCGCCACTTTCCAAGGTTGTAATACAGACGAATATATGCCACACCCAGCAGGGCAGTGGCGGAGAACGCAAGCGAGCTATATGAATCATACAGGTCCAGCTTGGATTCGGGAGAATGGCACCAGGTGTGTCGCCAACGGTCAAGCGACGGCTCCAGTTCTTGGGCGGTTTGCATAGAGAGACTTTGTGTCTGTGGGTCCAGAGAGATTTGGTGCATCATGTAAATACGCTGGATAAGTGCGTGGATCAATATATAGTTTCCCATGGGCGATGCAACGAACTTTGCAGATGTGCCTTGTCCAAGATGGGCCTCATGGGCCTCCTTCAGGTTAATTGTAGATGCATGAGTACTGACATGAATCCATGCAGCTTCCGTTCGCGCAACCCATTCCTGGCATGACGATGGAAGCTGCAGGTTGACATCCCTCGTGAGCAGTAGAGGTGGATTATCGTATGTGAAGGCATGAAAGTTGAGTATATACCAACCGAAGAATTGAGTGCGCCTTTCTGTTTCTAGCTTGATCCACTGAGTCCAGCTGGTTCTGTCATGATGCGGCCCTTCGGACAGACCAAGTCGGCGGAGCGAGTCAGCGATCATGCTCTGGTATTGGTGCGAGTCCTGCGACAGATCCGGGCTGCTGTGCCAAAAGCAATAGACGGCCAACAAGAGCAGAGCACGGGTTCGGTCTAGACGATGTTCTCCATGGCCGGATGAAGGAGTTGCGCTACTTTGATCAGGCGCGATAGAATTGATGTCACCGACACTGTTAACTGTGCGAAGACGTTCCAGTACGATAGATCGGCTAGCTTGGTACAGAGACCTGGCAGTCTTGGTTTCGTAGCGATACTGGGCGCCTATGGCCAGCATCGCCAGGATGAACTCGGGAGTATGGACAAAGGAGGTCAATTTGAGGGTTGGGATATGGATGAACGGGTGATGATCACTGAAGCCTTCGACATATCCAAGTAAGTAGCGAGCAACGGCCATTCTTGAGGGCAGCCTGAAATGGGGCATAGCTTGTCGAAACGGCGCCAGCGCGTTGGTAATCTGCAGATACTGGCTCTCGTTCAAAAGCCAAGGACAGCTAAGAGGCTTCAACTCGTGGAAATCACCTGGCAAGGGATTAGTAGAAAGTCTTGAAAAAGTCGAGTCAAAAACAAACCATCGCCTGACGGGTCATCCGGTACCCGCGAAGAAATATCTGTGCTGTCTGGACTGATCTGCTGGATTGTATCGTGCTCCGGCAAGTTGTGGTCATGCGACACAATGCTTGGGTCGACCAGCAATCCTTCCCAGTCATGACTCCAGTCCCCATGGGTCAAGAACCTGGTGAAGCCAGAGATCGGATCATCGCAGTCCGCAAAGAGACCGTCCGTGGAAGACAAGAGGAAGTTGTCGAAGGAATAAGGCACGGCGGTGTTCCCCAGGAATGCAGTGTCTGATTGCTGAGAGATGGTGGTCGATGTCAACGGCTCGTGTGCAATGGCATGGGATATAGAGTCAGTATGGTCGCTCATGTGGTCCATGGTTGAAAGACCAATAGATGCAGCGTGTGTACTAGTGAGGGTTCGATCCACCGCGGGTGACATGCTTCCTGGCCCACAATCAATGAGATGTCCGCTTCTATGCGAGTGGGGGACAACACACACACCTCGAGCAGCTCCTTGCCTCCCGTCAAGGCCATGGCTCAAGCGTTCATGTCGGGTTAGTAAGTCTTTTCGGGAGAATGAACGACCACACGGGCAGATATATGGTTTATCTTTAGTATCTGTAGGGGATTGGACTGTCAGCAACAGATCTGCGGTGTACTGTTTCCGAGTGGATGCCCACGAGTACGAATATGTCGTTGCAGATGCTCGTGCCTGTTGAAGGTGCGCGAACATATCTTGCAGGTCAGCTCCTCGCGACGAGCGGCGGATGCAGGACTTAATGGACGAAATGACATTCCTTGACTCATCGTGCCAGATTCCAGTCAGATTCCAGTCAAGGCATTGTGAGCAAGAGTCCGAGGGGCCAGAAGTAGACTCTGATGAATGAGGAGGGAAGGTTAGCACGGAGTAATTGAATAGGTAATCCATGATGGTAGCTGAGTTCAATCAGTGGCAGTGAGAGAGTGCACGTGACAAACCTTACCTTCAGTTTTAATCGGCGTCGATAAGCTGCGATAAGGTACAGTACAGTACAGTACAGTACGATAGGACACGTGCGATAATGTCGCCTGAGCTTTTCAGGTTGAAATTATACAATGTAAATGACTGCTGTACTTGCAGAGAGCATCAGCCAGGCTTATCGCAGGATCAGCCATCGTCCCTCTTCCTGCTTGAAAATCGAGGAAAATTCGAGGAAGATTCGTGGTTGGAAATTTGTTGGAGATATGTTGGAGTCTCCAACTCGGGCTCCCGTCGGCAATTTCAGTTGCAGCCTGAGGCTTTCGAATATGATGGCCTCGAGTCAAACAAAAGAAACGGTGCAAACAATCGAAACAGCTGGCGATCCTCTATTACCCGCGGCGTGTATGAAGCGAAGCTTTCACTAGTCGCCATCTCTCACAGCACGAAATGGAAGTATAAGGGAACACCCCTTGTACTCCAACGCGTTGATCGGAGCAGGCAAACCTTGAAGGTCAAACAGCTTGAACGAGACAATTCAATGCCTGAGGCAGATGCCTTATAAGTACAGTACTCAACTGTACATGATCGAAACAGCGTCGTCCAATTGCAGCGAGACACTGCTACTCCTCAAACGTCACCCAAAAGAATAGGCGCACAAATTGTGTTAGATGACCCACCATGCTACTAACTCCCATTCACGTTCGCGGCCGTCGCAAAATACGGGATGAAGATGATGACGCTCCCAAGCCCATTCCCAGCGGGCCCCGAGGCGGCCGGCCACTGCTATCAGCCCAGGCGAAGCTCAGTTCATCGCAGACTAGGAGCCACAAGCGCGCTCGTCTACTGACTACCACCCCACTCGACAAGCCGCGCAAGAAGAAGAAAAAGCCATCACTGCTGGAATCTCTTCCCAATGAACTCATCGAGAAGATCTTTCTGCATTCCTTGAACGTGAACCTGGCTCGTTCGTCCCCAATCCTTGCTGCGGCTGTGTCGACTGAGCGCATCTACCGTGCTTTGATCTTGTTGGCCTTCTGGGATAACAGCACGGAGTTATCTGCATCACCCTACAGCCGTGAATCGAGGGATGCGATTTCCCGAATCCTACGACCATTGGACTACACGCCTATCAGCCTGGCGCAGCGGAAAGACCTGCAGACGGCTGTCCTTCACTGTAGATGGTGTACCGTGCCGCGAATACTCGACCAGTTACCGGAATTGATGAATCTGGTCATTCAACAACACTGGTTTGGTGCAGGAATCAGCATGGCCGAAGAGCAAGAGAAACTGTTAGATCGTGTGCTCAATCTAGAAGATGATGCAAATGTGTTCGAGGGCTTCGAAACCATCAACGCTACCCCTGACACATCGACCCCTGCACCCACAAACAACTACACCCTTACCATCAACCCTTCAATATCTATCACCATCACCAACCATTCCATCGAACAGGAAACCACGCACCCTTTCCTCAGCCCCTTGATCATTCCTGACAAATATGTTCAAGGTAGCACAGCTAGTGACTCCGCGCCGGCCACTCCCTCCTCATCATTTTCGGACGACGGCTTCACTCCAGCCTTGATCACCTACCTTGAAATCCACCGATTCTCCCTAGGATTTAACAGTGTTACTCTTCCCCTTAGACCCCCCAAACACCCACTCATCCTTTCCCGTCCCTGCCTGCAACAAGGAATCCATACCGCCATCGTATCCAACAATCTTCCCGCCCTCCTCACCCTCCTCAAACTGGACGAGTTCTACTTCCGCGTCACCGAGCAGCAACACCTTACCGCGCAGGACCAGGACCAGGATCAGGAGCCGGTCATCCCCTACGCCCTATCTGCTGGACACTTCCGCACCGCGGTGCGCTTGGCCCCGCGCAACCCGGAATTCTTCCAAGCCCTCGTGCGGGCGAACGCCGAGTCGGTCCCCGCCGACGACCCCGAGATCACGGAGTGGGCAATGCGCCTTCAGGATCCGTTCGGCCGGTGGCTGTTGGAGCTGATGCTGCGGCTGCCCGAGCAGGCGGCAGCGGCGAAGCGCAATCCGGTCCAGAACTCGGTGTTCTGGATGGGGCGGGCGAATGCGGACAGACGAGAATTGGCGAGCAAGTACCTGCGGGACGTGCTGGGAGGCGTGCAGGAGCTGGAGAGTTGGATGGGCGAGATGCATGTCCCACTGTCATTGCCATCGTCGTGATTGTTCCCTGATTCATTCTGCCGGCCGCGGAGGCGGTGGATGGGACGCTCTGGCGGCAAAATTGCCGAGGCCGGCGGAATTATCCTCTGCGACATCTGGAAAGTATGATCTACTCCATCAAACGAGCAAAGCAGCGCCCTTCGACCCCACACACCAATCCACCGCCTATCACGGCCCAATTGACAAGAACTTACCCAAACACACCGTTGGCCGGCGCAATGCCGCGACTCTCGACCCGCACGATCCTCCAAGCGTACGCGCAAGACGCACTGCTCCCGCTGCTGCTCCGCGAATGCCGGACTGTTGACTCGGCCCGCAGCGAACTCCGCTGGCTCCGCCAACACGCGATCGACCTCACCCAACAACGCAAAGAACAACGCTATCGACGCCTCCAACAAGCCCGCAAAACCGGCCAAGCATCCGAAGGGCCGCATTCACCCCGGAATACACAACCCCACCGTAAACCGACGCAGCACCACTCGCCCGAACACGCCCCCCCAAAGGGCTGGCGCCGCACGCTGCGCACCCTCTGCCACGCCCGCTCGCGCGGCACTCCGCTGCAATATCTCCTCGGCAACCAACCGTTCGGCGACCTGACCATTCTCTGCCAGAAGGGGGTCCTCATCCCGCGCAACGACACCGAGACCTTCACCTACGCCGCGGCCGAGCAGATCCGCCAACACTTTCCCCCTCCCAAGCCCGAACCCAATCCCGCCTCCCCAAACCCCTCCCCCTCACCCTCACGCCCCCCTCAACCCCTCCGAATCCTCGACCTCTGCACCGGAACAGGCTGCATCACCCTCCTCCTCCACGCCCTCCTCTCCCCAAGCTACCCCTCCCTCAAAATCGTGGGCATCGACATCCACCCGCCCGCCATCCACCTCGCGCAGAAGAACCTGCGCCACAACATCACGCTCGGCGACTTACCGGCCCGCGCATCCCAGGACGTGGAATTCCGGCGCGCGGACGTCCTCGCCTGCCCCTCTGCGCCCACCTCCCACTCCAAGATTAGGGGGCGGGTCCCCGCGCTGGAGGAGCTCCTTCCCTGCATCCCGGACTTCTGCCCCCGCGCCCAAGATGCGTCAAAGCCGAACGGGCAAATGGGGCGGGAAGGGGAAGGGGAAGGGGGAGCAAAGGTTGAAGTCGACGTGATCATCTCCAATCCCCCTTATATCTCCCGGACAGCGTTTCTGGATGGGACGACGGCGCGGAGCGTGCGGTTCCATGAGCCGGTTTTGGCGTTGGTGCCGCCTTCTCCTGCTTCGCAGAATGGCATGGTGGAGGGTCTGGGGCAGGGGCAGGGGCAGGGGCAGGGACAGGGCCAAGAGGAGGATGTGTTCTACGCGCGGATTGTCGGGTTGGCGGGCAGGGTTGGGGCGAGGATGGTGGTGTTCGAGTGTGGGGATTATGAGCAGGGGGGGCGGGTGGTCGAGCTGTGTCGACGGGGTGTTACGGCCCGAAAGCTGGGAGGGAGATGGGAGGCGGGGATTTGGGAGGACGAGACTGTTGTTGAGAGTGGAGGGGAGGGGGGGAAGGAGGGGGCGTGTATGGTTGTTGTGAAGCGGGTGGATGTTCAGGGGTGAGGTTGCTGTGGTTTGCCTGACTTTATCTTGTAATAGATTGTATGTCCATATCTAGCGACTTGTGGATTTTGTGAACGATGAGGTATTTTCATGACTCATTCAGCGCTATCACTATCAAATATACGTCTGGTTTCTTTAATCGACTCGTCCATGCAGAAAGGGAAATCCAGCTCAATGTCCATCTGCTGGTTGATGTATACAAAATGTAATCACTCGTGCAAAGAATACACACCCAAGTCAACCCGGCTACTTCCGACCCTTCCCCTTTGTCGTCTTCGTCTTCTTTCCCGCCGACTCATCCACCATAACCGGCGATTGCAGGATCCGCTCCATCAACAACGCCGCCGCAACACTGACATTCAGACTGTCCACGCGCGCGGGATCACTCTCCACCCCCAGCCGCGGATCGAACCGCGCGCCGGGGATCCCCACCTTCACGTCCGCAGCCGACAGCAGGTGGGTACTCAGCCCGGTCCCCTCACTGCCCATCATCAGCACGCAGGGCGCCTGCGCGGTCGCCGGGCCCTCCGCGGTGCCACCACCAATGTTCGAAACCACCTGGGAGGCGGGGCCCGGCATGTCCGCGGCGAAGAACCGCCAGCCGTTCTCCTTGGACTTGGCGATGAACTCCTGCTCGTTGCGCACGGCCAGCAGCGGCATGTTCTCCGCGGCGCCGGCGGAGGCCTTGATGGTGACCGGGGTCAGCGGGGCCGAGTTACGGCCTGCCAGGACCACGGCGTCGATCCCCAGGTAATACGCGGAGCGGATGATGGCGCCCATGTTGCCGGGGTCCTGCACGCCATCCAGCAACAGCACGACGGGGTAGCGGTGGGTGCTGTTCGTGGCATCGGGGTGATCGGAGAGCCAGCGGGCATGGTTGATGGGCACGAGGGTATCCGTGCCGTTGACGGCGGCCTCCTCGCGCGACTGCACGCCCAGCTCGACCTGGAAGTTCCCCTCCGCGACCGAAGCCACGCG